TTATATTTTTTTTTTTTTTTTTTTTTTTTTTTGTTAGAATAATTCTGTATGTTAAAATTTAAATATATATATATATATATATATACATATGTATATATATTTTTATGATTTTCTTAATTTTATAAATAATTTTTTTTTTTTACAGTTTTAATTATTTGTTAAAATTAATTTGATAATAATATTTTTTTAATATTTAATGGCAATATATGTTATATAACTACGTTTATTTTATACACCTTAATACAACAGATTAAATTATTTTAAAAATATTTAATGCAAAGGATTTATGTTGAAATGTATTTATAAATTGTAAAAAGTAAAAAAAAGAAATAATAAAATTTGATTTATGTAATATATGTGGCATACTTATGTTTAAAAAAAACCATTATATATATATATATTTGTATATATAAATTTTTTATTTTATATTTGATACTATATCATTTCATTGACTTAATATTTATGTATATATATAATTACAGAATAACGTTATGATAATATAAAAATATATATTATTGAATTTTTTATATTATTAATATGAATTTTTTTATTTTTAAAAATGCATATATTACATAAAATGAATTAATATACTTTATACATTCATTACCTATTTTAATACATCTATTATAATTCAAAAGAAAGCATATTTATTTTATTGAAAATTAATTAAAACATTTAATTAACAAAAATTATGAAAACCTTCTTTATTAATTTATGAAAAAAAAAAAAGAAAAAAAAAGGTATAAAATTTTGTCTTTTTTTTTTTTTTTTTTTTTTTTTTTTTTATAAGGTATCCATATATTTATAAAATATATTATTAATTCTTCATAGTTTTGTAAAATAAATAAAAAGAGAGTAATATATGTGTTGTATTACTTTTGAAAAAAAAAAAAAAAAAAAGAAAAATAGAAAAATATTATAAAGTTTAACAAAATATAATAAAATAAAATAATAATGGCTCTATTAAATATAAAGAATAATGCAAATATTTCTTTGCATTCAATGAGATATTCAGATTTACAACTTGATTATGATAGTGATTCTTCTTCAAATGAAGAATCTCCTTTTTTTTCAGTTGATGATTTTTCTAATGAACTTCATAGTAGTTTTGATGATATTTCGGATTACATTGTAGTAGATGAATCTGATTTGAAAAGGGAAAGATCAGAAAATACTAGTAGCGAAAATAACGAAACTACATCAACAAAAGATATAGAGATGAAAAAAGATGAAAATGTCAAAAATGAAAAAAAATATAAAAACGCAAATTATTCAGAAGAGAGTAAAAATTGTAGTGATAATAATAATGACAATAAAAATAATAATAACAGTGATAATAATAATGATGTTAATAATAATAGTACTAATGGTAATAATAAAAAGCAATGTTTTAGTAGAACATTAGGAACAGAAGGTAGAAAAAGAATGCTTAAATTATTAAGAAAAGCTTATAAATATAATGAAGAATGTAAATTAATTATGAAAAATAAAAATCCTCCCTTATCAATAAGTTATTTACCTTATTTTAATTTGTCAATGTTATGGCAATTAGCTGAAGATTTTGGTGTTTTTAATGAAGCTTTAAAAATTCATAGAGAATGTATCAAAAAAAGAAATTCTAATGTACGATTTAGAGCTAATGGAAAAGCATCAGGTAATTATAATTTTCAAGAGTTAAACAAAAATACAAAATCTTCCAAATCAGAATACATGTCTGATTACGTAGGTTCAAATATGGATACACAAACAGGAGAAGATTGTGAAATGGCTAATAATAATATTTTAAATGATGATATTCAAGGAAAAAGAAAAAGAAAAAAAAGTAACAATTAAAAAAAAAAATACATATCTGTGAGTTATCCAATAAATTTTTAAGTAGTTTAATAATAGAAAGATAAATATTCTCCATCTTATATACATTGTGTATAAAATTTTTAGAAAGTTTCTATTTAAAAATTATTTTACCATATTTACTTTAATTGTTTGTGTCTCTTTTATTACATTATTTAACATATATATTTACTTTTGGTTATATATATATATATATATAATTTTCTTTCCTTTTATAAATTTTTTTAATTTTAAATTTCTTTAATTTAAATTTTTATATATGACTTTAAATATATATATATATATATATACATATTATTTTTAATTTTATTTGAATTTCTAATTTTTTATTTACAATTTTTTAATATTATTTTAATTATATATTAACTTTTTTTTTTTTTTTTTTTCATCTTTATGTTCATATTTTATTATACATATATATTTATGTAATATATTTTTTTCTTGAATTATGACCATATAATTTTAAGCTTTAGTTTTAATAATGTAATCCTATTTATTTTTTTACTTTTTCGTATTAATTATTTATATATTCTATTTTATCAAATTCATATTTTGTATAAAATTTATTTTGATTTTTAAATGAAATTTTCAGAATATTTAATATAAAGAACATATTTTTATCATATTTATATTTATATATACTTGTGAATATACGTTTTAAGGTTAATGCATATATATATGCAAATACTTATTAAACCTTTTTTACATACTACTTTTATTTATTTTATGATTGAAATTATTTTATATTAATTTTTTTTTTTTTTAATCTGTCACATTTTAAAAATAGAAGAAAAAAAAAAAAAAAAAAAAA